ATATTATCTAACTTTCTCCCTCACACACGCACACACACATACATATATCATGTCGATTATTTAATGTTCATTAGCCTCCCCCCCCCTTTCATCTAACTATCAACTCTTATATCATTGTTCCTTTCAGAAAAAGAAAATGTTTACTTCTTTTTTTGTGTGTGTGCTCAAATCAGAAGAAAACAGTTAGGTTAAGTGGAAGAAATGATTATCGAATGGGTAGACATCTCTCTCTCTATATATATATATATTTATCCATATAGACACTATTCAGAAAAATTAAAGAAACTCAAGAAGAAACTGACTATTCCTTCTTTGTATCAATTATTCTCTCGTTGTAATTTTCTTTTCTTTATTTACTTGTTGTTTGCTAGTGTTCTACAATCAATTGTGTTGGTCTTTTTCCTCCCTTTTTATTTTCTTGAATAAACAAAAAATAATGAAAGTTTATTATCATTGAGTTCACTCAGTTATTGCTTGATTTGTTAACTGACTGATTGATTGATTTTTTTCTTTTAGAAATATAAACTCTTCAATGGTAATGATGGTAAACTATTTAGTTATTAAGTAGTATCGTAGCGCGTACTACTTATATTAATATAAGTAGTATATAATGCGAGTCAGGAATGTAATGTCTAGCAGAAGAAGATAAGAGAAGATCAAGAAAGGAAGAGCAGGAATAGAAAGCAATTTGTATGGAAATGCAAGAACAATGAAGTTCGAGACAATTATTGAACATTTTGCAAATTAAGTATTATAGTATGGTTTTTCTATTTTGTCAAGTAACTCGTTTGTTCCCACTGGTGTTCTTCTTACTACAGTATATATATACCATTGGTCGCCTGTTATGTAATTTTCACAGTTACCACTATGGATTAATCATAGTTAGGAAGATATTGAGAACTAGGAAACACAACTGGAACCAGGACTCGAACTCAAGACCTTCAATGATCATTTAACTTTTACACTGCTGACTTAGTATTCATTCTCATAAATGCTATCCATTATGTTTTTGAGATGACTGAACAGATATGATAAATGAACTACTAATTATTATGTAATGAAATTTATATTGAGTCTATAAGATTTGTAAATGACTGATATCATTTGGACAAAAGACGATTGAATATATAAAACATGAAACAATGTTGTCAGTATGAGATTATGGAGATTGCACAGTGAAGTATAATTCTTATTTAAAAAAACTTCATTTGAAGATCTTACATTGATTATATTTTTGTTTCTTGTCTAATTTGTCGAGTTAATGCGACACTCAACATGTGTGTAACAGTCAGTTAAAAAGTGAGGATAAACATCAATGTCATTCGCACCTTGTAATAAACCAAAAATGAAGCAGGAATTATTATTTAGACTATCGTAGTCCATGATAGTGAGCATTTCAGCTGGCTTAAATTAAAAAAAAATGAAACGTTTCCTACGATGAAAATATCGCTCTATTATTCAACGGACATGTCAAGTGTGGGGCAGCCGATCATGATGGAAGAAAAATTACATAGTAAAAGACATACCTTCAATTAATTTTATTATAAAAATTATTCCAAAATGTCTACAAATGAGTAACTTAATAAACGAAAACATACTCGCTATTACTGATTACGATACACTTAGATGATTTGAAGTTTATCCTCAGACCTTATTAACTTACTTATGCCTGTTACTCCGTATGGAGGAGCATGGATCACCTACCAGTATCCCTCATCCAACTCTGTCCTGGAAAATTCTATCTAGTTACTATGATTTAATTTATTTACTCTGGTTAGCATTTTCTACGGGATGGGATTGCTGACTGCATTTTCAACCCTTCTCCTTTACTCCAACTTGGGAATGGAAGTAACCCTAGAATAGCTACAAGCGGAGTTTATTCCCAGGCAAGTCAAGGGATAATTAAGGTTATATTTATTTGGAATAAATAAGAATAACAACACAAAGTACATTTTACTAAATAAATGTAAATATCAGTAGTTGAAATCATGAGTCAATTGAAGCTAGATTACTATGGGAAACCTTGAAGCAATGCACGGCCGCTTCATCCTATCGTGGGACTTCACAGCAGCGCGCATCCACGATCCCACCCCGTTCGAAATTTGAATCCAGGACCTATCAGTCTCCCGCGCGAGCCTTTAACCACTAGACCACTGAGCCGGCATCCAATGGTGTTAATGTCTAGCTTCAACCAATCAACAAAATTGCACCATTGTACACCATTGTCTTCAGTGAGCTGATATCTCACAACAGACCTGGTTGAATTCCATTGGTCACGGCTTCTCACTAGAACTGCAACTTCAATTGACTCATGATTTCAACTATTGAAATTACTAAAATCTCTACAAAACCCCTTCTGAAAATGTAAATATCACAAATAATATTTCCATACTACTTATAACTATAGTCTATATCATCATGAATAATTTAATCTTCTTAAACGACTGATTATCATCTTCAATCTATTCCATTGAATAGTTAAAACTTAAAACTAACACATACCTATTCATACGTATATCAGAACACTTCAATAGACACTTATACATATGAATAATAATGATATCTCATACATGTGATTCTATATTGAATGCATTTAACTTGTCAGTCAAAATGACAACTATCACATATTCAAATGAATGTAAAAATAAGTAATGACTTGACTACAATTTTAAAAAATTAAAAAAAAATTTCTTTCCAGTTTTCACTTTTTAGTGGGTTTTTCTCTCTCGCTCTCTCTTGCTCTCTCAAGAATAGGAAACCTTTGTATCCCAAGGGACTTGACAACTATTATCATGGCTGTCAAATCAGTATTGGTGTTCTTGTTGTTATTGTTAATGCCCTTTCCCTCTTTCATTCTCTCACTCTCTCGTTCTCTCGCTCGCTCTCTCGTTCTGACGACAAAATTAATTCACCTAACCTTAACTGATGAAAAACTAGACGAAATGTAATGAAGTGAATAGAAATGACTAATTCTCCCTACTGAATAATCATGGTAAAACTATCCATTCGAAATGAGAAGAATAAATCTCAAAAATACGTTTTTTCTTCATTTCATGATAAGCGGGTGTTTTTAATGTGTAACTATTTTGATTTACATGTCTTGTTGTTAATTGTCCAGATTATGACATGATGAAATATCGTATCAGTTTAGTGATTCAAAATATAAGCTAGACAATCATGGAAAACCTGGAAGTATTGAACGGCCGTTTCGTCATATTGTGGGACTCCTCAGCCATGTGCATCCATGATCTCGCCTCGCGAGATTCGAACCCAGTCTCGCAAGCGCGAGCGTTTAACATCTTGACCACTCAACCGACATCCAACTTAATAGTTACAGGTTTATGAAATTAACAACGGTACTATATAGTTTGTCTGAATTTATATAGATACTATTAGTTGAAAATTAAGTACTGTAATGGTTAAACGGTTATTATATATGGTTGAGACAATTGAATGACATGAAAAACAAAACCTCCAGTTTAGTATCTTGCCATAATTTCCAGTCATTGATCCCTTGTGTTCCGTTTGAACTAATATTAGTTAATCTGTTATTTACTACCCGAACATTGATATTATTTCCATTCACATTTTACTTTTCATTCTTTGAATCGCTTTAAACATTGTACCAAGCTGAATTCTGATATCCTGTTTGGAAAGCCTTTATGTTGGAGTTCTACATTGTCTATGCCTAATTGACTGTGGAATATACATATCATTACTAGTAAAAGATCTGTCTACTCGGTGAACATCTTGTAAAATTATGTAATTGTTTACCTAAGTTTACGTGGATTTATCAGGATGGAGTTTAAGCAATGCTGAGGAAATCAATACTCAAAACCTCCGTCCAACCATGTAATTGAGTTCACTATACTTAATCTGATTTGTGATATTATTCATAATTTGTTTTAAAGAATAAACTTATTAATGATAATTCACTGGTTGGAATGATGAGTCAGTTGAAGCTAGACCACCATGGAAAACCTGGAAGCACTGGATGGCCGTCCCATCCTAGTATGGGACTCCTCAGCAGTGCGCATTCACGATCCCGCACCCCACGAGATTCGAACGCAGGATCTATCAGTCTCGCGCCAGGCGCTTAACCAACTAGACCACTGAGCGGGCATCCAACCGTGTTAATGTCTAATTTCAATCAATCCACGAAGTTGAGCCACTGTATACCATTGTCTTCAGTGAGTTGATATCTCACAACAGACCTAGTTGAACTCCACTGATAATGGCTTCTCAATCGACTCATGATTCCAACCAGTGTTATTTCTAAAATCTCCACAAAGCCCATCCTGATAATGATAATTCAGTTTAATAAATTGAAATTTATGACCAGTGTAGTTCAGCTTGGGTCTGTTGTGAGATGTTAACTCACTCAAGACAATGGTGGATATGTCACTCAATTTCGTGGATTAGTTGAAGTTAGACACTAACATCATTGGATGCCAGCTCAGTGGTCTAGAGGTTAAGTGTTAACGCGCGAAATCGAATGTTCTGGGTTCGAATCTCGCAGGGGGTGGGATCGTGGATGCACATTGCTGGAGAGTCCCACAATAGGACGAAACGACCGTCCACTGCTTCTAGGTTTTCCATGATGGTCTAGCTTCAATGGACTTATGATCTCAACTATTTAGAAAAAAAAAACAAATTTACACTTACTTCTATCAAGGTAAAATCATATTGTAGAGATGATGTTATACCATATGAAACAAAATCAACTCTAAGAATTCATTCAATTGTTTAATCGTCAATTATTGTATTTATAAAGTATAAACTATATATTTAATCCCAAAATAAAACCACAGCAATTGTAATAGATCCTAACCAACACTTTCACTAATCTTTGTGTGTAATCAAAAATGTAAAGTATCCGACTTTGATTTATTATCCCCAAAATTAGAGAGGTAACAGCACACAAACCCACAAACATACACACAAATGTGTATATATATATATATAGGCATAGATACATAAATGAAAAAAATGGAACTCACTTTATTCTTTTGAAAATTTAATGTTGATCAAATTACCACACTGTTTAGTTACCAGATTGAAATGTTATCGTTATGATTATGTAATTAAAATATCATAGAGATATTATAATTCAAATGAGAAATCTGTGTTCATTCCATACACTATGAGAGAGTAAAACAAAATATTCTTGATTTGATTAACGGTTATAATTCCTTGGGTTGGTAGCGGTGGTGGCGGTGGTGGTGTTGATGGTGTTGTTGGGGGAAATAATCAGTCATAATTGTAGTGTATTGATGCATATTAACATGAGTTTATTCATGTACTCGTTGTTCAATTGTGAATTCTAATAAATAACATTCAATCATCATCATCATCATCATCATTAATGTCTGTGTTGTACATCCATCATTTAGTCGCTTTCATTATTTCACTTTTCTTTTTCATCATTATTATTTAGAGAAAAATACAGTATATTGTATTTGTGCATTAGATACTACAATTATGTCAACCCCCTTTATTTGTGAAAGAGTGAAAAATTAAAAAAAAAGAAGAAGAAGATTAATTCAGTCACAGTAGCTGTTGTGGGGTTTTAACCGATTAAAACTAGAAGGCAATAAGTAAAGAATGGGAAAATGTATTGTATGGTGCTATACACACAAATCAGTTTGAAATATATATATATAAACAAATCAAATATGATGAAGGAGGGGGGGGGCAATCATGATGCTCCTTTGGTATCTTAACAACACAAATGCCGTTGTAGCTTTGTGAATAAAACTATTTATTTATTATAATCTATCCTTATGGACATGTAGATGATATAAGTGTAGGAATAAGTTAAATTGCTTTCAGATTTCTTTGCCAACCATTAGTCTCTGTCTGTTCTCCAGTGTGTGTGTGTGTATATATATATATATATGTGCCATTGTATAAAACAAGTAAGATTTAAGCACCTGCCGATCATGCTAGACATGTCAAACACCAAATTATTCACAGAACCAATTACTTCAATTGACTTAATCATTCATTCACTTATAACGAACCAATCTATCTAGAGTAATTCAATCATTCATTTAAACAAGCAGTTAGTTTCATAGATAGATAGATAGATAGACAGACAGATGTGAATAAAGAGTTCCTATAGACAAACAAGTGGTTGGTTACACAGGTAATGTGTGTGTGTGTGTATAGAAATATACATATATATATATACACTGGCAACTACCAGACTTGGGAACAGACTATGATATAAATAACTATAATGATTTGGATGTGTTCATTTGTTGAGTGAAGTGAACTAAATTTAGATGAACAATTTATGTAGTATCTATCATCCATTCAGCTGAGATGATAATTAAAATATAGTAACCAAGTTATTTTGTTATTTACTGGTTAAATTATCACGTGGAAAATGAATCATTCATCAAAACGATGAAGGTGATGATCATGGTGATGGTGATGATGATTGAATTTAAACTGATTCTATTGATGGATGACCATATTTAAACAAAATGAAATGATCATATATGACAGTTACTAGTCGACAATTGTAGTAGTCTAACTAACATCAATCAGTTCATGATCTCAATCAAAAAGTTAATAATCTTCACAACCCTATACTGATAATTACCATGTGCTCACTAGTGACTAGCTTTGTGAGGGAATTCTCGGAGTTATAGTGAGAAACCGTGACTAGTGGAGCTAATATGTGTCAGGTAGAGACAGGTATCTACCTCAGTACAATGAAAGATGGTCACACAGTTTCGTGGATTAGTTGTAGTTAGACATTAACATGATTGAATATCGGCCAGCTCAGTGGTCTAGAGGTTGAGCGTTCGCTCACGAGATGGATAGGTCCCACGGGGCGGGATCGTGGATACGCACTGCTGAAGAGTCCCACAATAGGACGAGACGGCCGTCTAGTACTTCCAGGTTTTCAATGGTGGTCTAACATCAATCGGTTCATGATCTCAATCAAAAATTAGTATAATTGTTTGAAAGGGTCAAACATAAATGCTTAACTAAACTGAAATAGTCGAATTAATCATATTTCATATAACTAGTTCCCTTGATTATGTATTGTAATGTAAGTACAGTAAACATTATGGGATGAAGTGAATTTATTGGAGGAGCACAGGCCATCCACCAGCACTCTCCACCCAACCCTATCATGGGCAATCCTTTCTAGATTTTTCTAGTTGTTATTCATCCTTTTCATATCTGTTTCTATTTCCCGATGTAATGTGTTCTTTGGCCTTCCTCTTTTCTGCTTCCTTTCAGAATTCCAAGTTAGCACTTGCCTCGTGATGCAGTTTGATGATTTGGTTCATGTATATCCTATCAATTTCCATCGTCTTTTCCTAATTTCCTCTTCAGTCGGAAGCTGGTTTGTTCACTCCCATTAAAGGCTGTTGCTGATGGTATCCGGCCAATGGATGTTGATTATCTTGCGTAGACAACTACTTATAAATACTTGTACCTTCTTGATGATGTTTGTGGTAGTTCTCTACGTTTTAGCTCTGTATATTTGGACTGTATGGACGTTCATATTGAAGATTGTGACTTTGATATTGGTTGAAAGTTGTTTTGAGTTCCATATATTCTTCAATTGTAGGAATACGGCTCTTGCTTTGCCATTCCTCGCCTTTATGTCTGCATCTGAACCACCTTATACATTGATAATGCTTCCCACGTACGTGAAAGATTCTACATCTTCCAGAGTTTCGCCATCAAATGTGATTGCGTTGGTGTTCATTGTGTATAGGAAAAGAATAAGAAAATAACAAAGCGATCATGACATAATCAGCTTCAACAAACATGTGTGGATTGTGATTAGAACAGTGAGACTAAATGATAAAATTAACGATAATTAAAAGTATAATCATCAAATAATCCTTGTAATAATGATAATAATAATGTAAATAATGATAAAACGTTTACTATGGGTGAGTTAGTGAATATAGTTTCATTGTTATTTAGTTATAATGAAGAACTGTCATTATAAATTGTACAGTATTGGGACATACTACCAATATTGGCTTTTGTTAAGATTCATTTATATCGGTGTGAGACAGTTATCCACTACAAGCAATTTAAGATGATTATGTAATATAGATGGCCGGATACCATCAGCAACAGCCTTCTGTGGGAGAGAACAAACCAACTTCCAGCTGAAGAAGAAATTAGGAAAAGACGATGGAAATGGATAGGACATACATTACGCAAATCGTCAAACTGCATCACGAGGCAAGCCCTAACTTGGAATCCTGAGGGGAAGCGAAAAAGAGGAAGGCCAAAGAACACATTGCGTCGGATAATAGAAGCAGATATGAAAAGGATGAATTACAACTGGACGGAGCTAGAAAGGATTGCCCAGGACAGGATTGGATGGAGAACGCTGGTGAGCGGCCTATGCTCCTTCACGAGGAGTAACAGGCGTAAGTAAGTAAGTAAGTATGTAATATAGTGGATCAATTCAAGTTAATCATCATTACCGTCGAATACAGTTTCAGTGATCTTTTGGTTGAATATTCATGTACGAGACCTGGTCTTCTGGGTTCGATTTCCGAATGTGAGGTCAAAGATTTGCGGAATGAAAGAGCGATCCAATGCTTACAGGTTTTAATTGTAGTCTAACTACCATTAGTTCATGATTTAAAAAGAAACTGTTATCTTATTTCTATTTGAAATATGAATTCTCCAACAAAATAATGATTAACAGTCATTCATCTAAAACGATGAAATCTTTCTATCAGTTCCGCTATTATGACAACTTTTTCCATTCATATTCTATCAGATACATTACATTACTCAATAAACTACTCATATTTCTATAAACATAGAAAGAATACTGATGACTGTGAGATAACCTCTTGAATTCTTTGGATAGAAAACATCAAAAATAGATTATGAGCATTAAACAGACCCCCTACATGTTCAGTGTTCTTACTCAAGTTTTCATCAAGAGAACAATTTGTACGAAATTACAATCTGATTTATGATCATTGAAAATTGAAATAGAAGAAGAAATAATAATGATTCGATGCTAGAAATGACAACATAAAGAATAATAATGATGATTAAGATTATGATTTTACTTACTTTTGTCTGTTAAGCCGAATGGAGGATATGTCGCCGACCAGCAGTCTACAACTCACTCTGTCCCATTCTGCCTTCCTTTCTAGTTCTATACAATTCTTGTTCATTCTTATCATGTCTGTCTCCATTTCTCAAAGTAATGTGTTATTTGGTCTTCCTCTCCTCCTTCTCCTCCTTTAACCTTGACGATTCCATGTGACGGCTTGCCTTGTGACGCAGTTGGGTGCTTTCCTCAATGTGTGTCCTATCCACTTCCAGCAATTCTTCCTGGTTTCTTCCTCCACTGAAATCTGGTTTGTTCTCTCACATAGTAGGTTGTTGCTGATAGTGTCTGGCGAACGGATCTGAAGTATTTTGCGTAGACCTCTGTTAATAAACGCTCGTATCCTTCGGGTGATGGCTTTCGTAGTTCTCCAAGTTTCCAACCCATACAGTAGAACTGTCTTGACGTTTGTATTGAAAATTCTGACTTTGGAGTTGGTTGACAATTGTCTTGAGTTTCAAATGTTCTTCAGTTGTAAATGTGCTGCTCTTGCTTTGCCGATCCGCGCCTTCACATCTACATCAGATCCATCGTGTTTATCAATGACGCTGATCAGATATTTAAATGTTTTTATGTCTTCCAAAGCTTCTGTGTCAAGTGTGATTTGATTAGTGCATGTTGTGTTGTATCGAAGAATCTTGCTTTTCACTACTAGACGATCACATTTTTATTTTTTTTCGATATTCACTAATAGAATTGATTTCTTAAATTTATGTAGATCGTTTTTATTTGTCATTTTACACAAAACGTCTTCAATTATTTGCTTAGTTACTTTTTCAATAGTTGCGATCATGAGTCAATCGAAGCTAGACCAATATGGAAGACCTAGAAGCGCTGGTTGTACATTTCGTCCTATTGTGAGACTCCACAGCAGTGCGCACCCACGATCCCGCCTCACGAGATCCAGACCTATGACCTATCAGTCTCGCGCGCGAACGCCTAACCTCTCGACTACTGAGCCTACCGGTATTCAATCGTGTTAATGTCTAACTTCAACTAATCCACAAAATTGAGCGACACATCCACTATATAACAATTATCCAATGATTTCCAATATTTGTGAAGTTAAAAACTAATGAATAGGTGAAGTTTATATTCTAAGAAAGAATTACCACTCTACAATCATGATATCTTGAGTAAAATTTAACAGAAGGTCAATCATACCCCTGTCTTTGTTATCTGATTACTATAATATAACTATGTAATGATCAGTACAATGACATACGACCTAGAATAATTTTTTTCAGATTTTATATCGACAGTTTACATTGTTTACTCTTATCTCAAATTATATTTGCTTGTTAATTTGTTCTGAGGTTATCTGACTGTTTATCTATTTTTGTTTGGTTTATCAATGATGACCTTAAGTTGTGAAAAATAAAGAAATTAACAAACAAATGTGGTATATTTCAATAGTTGAGATCATGAGTCGATTGAAGCTGGACCAACAAGGAAAACCTGGAAGTATTGGACGGCCGTTTCGTCCTATTGTGGGACTCCTCAGCAGTACGACCTCATCATCCTGTCTCGTAAGGACTTATCAGTCTCGCGCGAGCGAGTGCTTAATCTCCAAACCACTGAACCGGCCGGCATCCAATAGTGTTACTGTCTACTTTCAAATCCTTCTGATATTAGATGTAGTATACTATGATGAAACAATTGACATATGT